AAAAAAAAAACGAAAAAAAGCTGATAGCAACACTAAAGAAGGCGAAGGACGTCTGTTTGTTTGATTCCCTCTTCTTTTTTTCTTTTTTGGAATTCTTAATCTTTTATTCGCCTGTCTTGTTGACGGAAATGATGATGGGGGAGATGTTAGAGGAAAGTGGGCATGAAATGAAGAAAAAAAAGAAGAAAAAAAAAAAAAAGAGAAAAAGGGGGATGGCAAAAGGAGGGTTGGGTGGGCGGGGGGAACTGAAGTTGAACTTGACGACACATTCCTCGCGTATTCTTTTCGCCCTTCATATATATATATATATAATATGTATATTGCATGTGTGTGTTATTTATTTGCTCCTCCGTGGAGGTTTTTTTTTTTTTTTTTTTGCTTTTGTGTGTTTCTTTTGCTGGCTTCACTGGGACTTTTTGTTTTTTTTCTACGAACACACAAACAAACAAACAAAAAATACACACATTCATGGGAATGCAGTAGAGCGAGGGTACCAGGGGGGCGAGCACGATGATCCGACGAGCCCTTCTACGGGGCGCATGTGTCAGGTGCTGTGGCGCCGTCGCTTTTCAATCAAACTCGAATTCCGTGACAAAATGTTGTCCCTTTTCTGGGACCATGGATAATGAGCAATTAAAGCCACTGAAAACCGGCACGGAGACGGTGTCTTGTCCTGTTCTCGGTATAACGCCAGAACTACGCTGCCCAATGGAGTTTGAGAAGGACACAAAGACGCTACCCATGCGGCAAATAGCGGCACAAATGGGAAAATTACGTTTGTCCGCCTTTGTGACTGCTACAACTGTGACTGGATACGTGCTCTGTGGTGGCACGAGCCTTGTGGCAGCGGCGGCACTGACGGTCGGAACTCTTTTACAGTCTTGTTCCGCAAACACGGCGAACCAAATACTAGAGATGGAACATGACAAAAAGATGAAGCGGACCTGTCGTCGTCCCATGCCTATGGGCTACATAACTTGTAAGGGTGCTTTAACCCTGTGTGGTTTGGAGCTTGTGGTTGGATCTAGCATTCTATGGCTTCTCAGCCCACCGGTGTCGGCCCTTGGGATACTTAATTGGTTCATTTATGTTGCTGCCTACACACCACTTAAACGTGTTTCTGCCGTAAACACGTGGGTGGGCTCCATTGTTGGTGGAATACCTCCTCTGATGGGCGGGATTGCTGCCACAGGAACTGTGACAAATCCTGCTTGGCTTTTAGGCGCACTTCTTGTTGCATGGCAGATTCCACATTTTATGGGCCTGAGCTTTCATTGTCGCCGTGATTATGAGGCAGCTGGTTATAAAATGTTGGCTTTTTATAATCCTTGGCGCGCCTCTTTTTATGCCGTGTTGATGTCTGTTGTCATGGCTGGAATGACGCTTGCTGGTCCCGTTGTTATCGGGATGCCCTCTGAGGGATGGTATTATCCTGCCGCAAGCATTGCCAATGGCGTCATGATATACAAGGCATGGTTGTTTCACTGCATGCCAAAGCAACACTGCCGTGGATGTTTTGTATTTTCATACATTTATCTCACGATAGTCCTAACCGCCTTAATGGTAAATCATTTTGGACCGGTGAAAAGGTGTACCGCTGCATGTGAGTTTGTCTTTGATTACATTGAAGGACAACGCCAAGAGGCCAACTCAAAACGCCCTTGGAAGCTCACATAGAAGAATCATGTTTAGTAGAGTTGCTCGCACCGTTTGTGCAGACGTAGGATGAGGGGGCGGTTAGATCGCGGGATAGGATTCGTTTTCTCAAGATTGTGTGTTGACTGGGATGTGGGTTGGGGTTGGGGGTTAGTTTTGGATCGAAACGCAATTTAGCTGGCGGCACGATTCCTTTGGGATTTCATATATATATATATATATATATATATACCTGTGTGTGTGTGTGTGTGTGTATTTGTGTGTGTATCTTATGGAGGGGGGTAGGAGAGGCCGGGGGGGGAAATATGTTGTGGTAATGAGGAACCAAGAAGAACACGTGCACAGACAAACAAACGGACAAACAAAAGTGTCTGGTAGGCCTATTCCCTTGAAGAAAGTGGCTTCAAGAGAAAGAGAGAGTGAAAGAAAGAGAGAGAGAGAGGTGGAAGTCTCTGTCTGTCTTTGCACAGGCATTTGTGTTTTGCAGTAGGTGCGTGTAGTTCTGTCTTGACTCTACACCAGTTAAAATGCATAAATGATGAGGGCGACTTGCCCCATTTTTTAAATTGTTTCTGCTTTTGCCACAACAACGACTTTTCCGGATGTATTTCTATTACATTATTATTATTCCCTTGTTGATCTCTTCTCTGTGAGTATGTCTCTTTTGTAGAGTGATGGAGTCGATACCGCCCAAGACTCGGGTGCCGGAAGACTGGATTCATCCTGCGCTGAAGAGGCAGCTGATGGACCGCGGTCGTCTGAGCAGCTCGCCGAAGGACCGCCTTGAGCTTTTAGAGAGGCAGCGCACCGAGATGGAGAGCGCGGCGGTTCGCAGAAAGCAGTTGTTGGAGGAAAAGAAAAGACATCTGGAGGATCTGGATCGCCGCCGCCAGAGAATCGCGGAGGAGATGAATGAGGAGGAAAGGCGGCTGATGAACCTGCGCCATGTCCACGAACGCGTTGGGGATCAGTTGATTGTACAGAAAACCATTGGGAGGCAGGAGTTTCAGGCTGTCTCAGGTGTAGAAGGTCTTCAGTCTTCTTCCTGCGCTCTTCGTGTGACTGGCATTATCGGATGGGGAGAAATAATGTCGTGTTTCACGGCGGATGAGGAAACCAGAGAACGTTTTTTTTCCAAGTACGCACCGCTCTTTACGGTCAACGAGGGCGGGTCGATGCCGCTCAAGAAGGTGACCGAGCCTGTTTTTTTTGATGAGATGTGTCTGATGGAGACGGAGGGGAATCGTTGCATGAATTCTGCGTGTCCCTACTGGCACCGAGATCAGTTGGAACACGCGAAACTTGGTTGCATGGAGCTCTTTGCTCGCGCTGCGACGTGTATTAAGGGGCACAGCAGCATATGTGACGCTGCATCCATGTTTTCAAGGTTTTATGTATTGATAGAGGCAGCGAAGGACCTTGCAGAAGTCGTACGGATACAAAGAGATCTTATTAACCACGTTGCAAACCTTGGATGGGCTGCGGCTATTTTGGAAGACGAGGAGTCTCCCACGTGGGAGGCACCCCTTCTGCCACGGCCAATCATGTCACTAGAGCACGTGGCGTCTCTTCTACGCGATTCAAGGGAGAAAACATTATGGGGACATATGATTCACTCAAATGCTGATGTTGTTGTCCAGGCAACCGCACTTTTTAAGCAGCATGCAGATTCGTTCTCATGGCGTTGCCTTATGCGTGTTGCGGGGACGACAATCGATCGTTTACTTTGGTTGGCCACTCGTGGGGTTGCTCTGTTTCCCACATCGCCATTTATCCGGCTCAGTTACCTCGTAGCGCTAATGAAGTCCGGATGTTCGATTTCAGATTGTGTTGAAGTTTGTCTTTCGTCAGCTCAGCTGATTTCTGATCAGGCGGCAATTGCCATATTTTCTCCCCAAGAGACAGAGTGGTGCGAGGTGGCGGCGCGATACGTTGCGTACATGATTGCCATTTCGTGCATCCATGTGGCCCGCACCGACCCCGAGGCAGCGGTGGGCCTTCTTGAGGCAGTACTGGAATTGCCGGGTCGTATTTGTCTTTTGCCGCTTGCATTGCAGAACTTAAATTTGTTTCTTGTTGTGCTTCGAAAGACAAGGCGATTGGATGGCGCGAGTGCTCTTCCGTTGGCCTCCATCTCCGATGTCTCATTTACACTTGGCGATGGGTTTCCCTGTTTTCCAGATAACGAGTGCGGGCAGCTTTTATCGAGGCATTTGGGTCTAATTGACTTATGTGTCTCCGCAGGTATTGATTGGTCATTGACAGAACGCATGCGGTCGAGTGTGCATCTTTCACTCATGCATGCATTCTCTTCCGACGCGCAGCTGGTGGATCAGATCCTTACGAGGTCACCCATGCATTCGGCTCTTGGGTTGGCGGAGGTGTGGGTGGGGTATCTCCGCCTTGTGGAGCAACGGGACGGGACGGTGTCTCTTATTTCATTGGTACAGTCTCTGTTGGAGTCCTGTCAATCGCCGCTGCTGATGGTCCATCTCGTGCGATTCCTTCAGGTGCATGATGAGAATGTGGAAACTGTCATCGACAACTTTCTTGAGGATTTTGCAAAGAGCCGTGGTATTTTACTAGAAAAAGTCCCCCTAATGGCGTCCACGGATTCGCCTGGTCTTCCTGTGGATGAGTGGATTCCGATTGTCATATTGTATTCCCTTCGATTGCGTCTTAGGGAGCGACTGGAGCTGCTGTTAAGTGTTCCACTGGATTTGTACTGTGATGTGGTGGAGTTGGTGGTTCTCTTATGGCTGGAGACAATTCAAGTCGCACTGCTCCTGCGTGATGATGACGTCTTCCGACAGTGTGCGAGACAAGGCTTACTGCTGCTCCATGAGCCTTTTATTCACTACTTTAGCCCTGTCGATTGGGATTTTGACGAAATGGTCTCATATGCTCATGTGGCGAGTCTCATGGTGTACAGAGCCATCCCTGTTCTTCTTGGCACGTCATATCAAGTCACTGCGCACTACCGTGGGATTTTGTTGGAGCTCAGTGCAGAGTTGCACGTGGTGCATCCCAATCTTCTCTCTACGGAATAGAATCCAAGTTGCCAACCTACTTTTAAGCAACCTGTGTGGGGCCGCTGTGGTTCCTGCTTTTTTTTTTTTTTTTTTAAAGAATATTATGCATTTTGTGTGCATGCGTGGGTAAATAAATAAATCAATCGACATTCATATTAATATGAATAAAAATATTTTTTGCCCCTTGTTTGCTTTTTTATTTTATTGCTTTCTTTTGCAGATTGTTGCTTTTTTAAATTTTTTTTTCTTTACCTGCTAGGATACGGGGAGAAGCTGCTGTAGCCGTGGAGGGTGACAGCCGGCTTGTCCCTCATGGCCTTTCAAATGAGAGAGCCTGTTGTATGCGCAGTCTACCCGACGTGTGTGCTTATCTGCTGGGACCCCCCACGCCTTGCAAATTCACCAACGGAAGTTGACCACACACTCTTTTGGACATACGAGGTGGAGTGGACAACAAGTCACAGCCCAAGCAAAGAACGTTTTTCAGGAACAACGAAATATTGTCACGCTGTCATTGAAGTATTTTATCCCAACGAAGTGATCAATCTCCGCATTTTTGCCCATGCCAGTATTTCGGGGGATGTGGTTGCGTGCGGTTCGACAAGCTGTACGATTGACGCTGCGGAGACAATTGCAATGCCGTGGCTGCACAAACAATCTATGGAATGCCGCTGCATATTTGACGGCCTTCTTTTTTCCACGAATGGTGTGCAGTGCATCGAGGCGATCCCTGATGGATCAGATCACATGAGGGCGACTATATCGTCCGTGTGTATGCTTGAATCTAGTTTTGCTTGTATTATTGTGAGGGCTATTTACAACGACCCACCCCTACCGATTACCTCTTCAACTGTGTACTACTTTGTTGTGTGTTCCAAGATTCTTGTGAAGCAGCGGGAGAGAATGCGCCATTCCGGGGTTGTGGAGTTCTTGGAAAAGGAGGAGGCATGTGCGGTCTTCTGTGGTATTGGTGAAATGGGGTCATCGGCTGCGTTGGCAGCGCATTTATTTATAGCATCGGTTCCGGAATCCATTACCGGGCTGAGAGCGCGCGTCTTTTGTATTGCGTATGGGTCTCCTAGGCGTATGTTTTTTGAGGATTCCCTCGTTCTCGCCTCCACCTTGGCGTTTAGCGGCAACTTCTTGTACTACACGGGTCTTTTGGATGCCCCTGACCCTTCCAGTGGCTACAAAACTACCCCGCCTGCAACACAGGAGGGGAAGGGGAAGGCAACCAGTGACACAGCGCTGCTGCTCAACACACCACTCGGTGTGCGCTGTGGACTTCTTTTAGATGTTCAAGAAGGCCGTCACTACTTGCGCACGCGCTGCTCTGGCGTGGAGACGCTTTGCGAGGAAGAGTGCCACGAAAGTCTTGATGTCTCCGAACAACTCCGTGTGTTGAGTCGTTTGCTTCTCACACGGGGGGATACATTGCTGTTGCCTGTGATTGAGGCTATGGAGCACACGGTGGAGGACGGCGTTATGGTGTGTCTCCGCATCGCCGGTGCCAATTTGCAATATCGGCCGCAGATCTGTGTCTCGTCGCACGGTGGGTGGCCGACAGCGATATCTGTGACAAATATGGCTCCACGGCGCATAGATGCCACATTCTCATTGCTGGAAATGGTCAGCATGGAGTCTGCTACGCGACGGAAGCCTCTGCAGCGTCTGCAAGTGGACTTTGCGCTTCTCACGGATATGGGGTACACCTCCCACACGAATTACACCATTGATGTTCCTGAGGATGTTGCTGAGTTGCTATTTCTTGAAAATCGAAACAAATTACCTTATGCGTGGATATTTTCAAAGCCAATAAATCTTATTGATAGCGCGATCGTTATTGAGCCGTTTTTTACAACCTCAGTGGCGAAGGAGCCACGCAGATTTGAACCTGGGCGACAATTCTCCACGGAGTTGATTGAGGCTCTTGCCAGGATTAGTGAGATTGCGCATCACTTTGCTACAAAGAAGCAGAGTGTGAATTTGTTGAGTTTTGTGGCCAATGTGGCAGCCAAAGTGTCTAACTCCGGCGTGTCCTCGCAAGCAATGAATCCTATTCCCATAGAGGCTCCTTCTGCGAGGGAAGGGGTATTTGGGAAAATACTTGGAGAATATGTCAACAACAAAAAGCGGGCGGTATCGAGTTTGCTCTCAAACCTTGCAACGTGGAAGCAGAAGCTTCAACAAGGGCTTCCTTGGCTGAATGACACAAAGTACAGGGAGAAGTTATGCTCTCTTTTGGGTGTGTTTGGAAAGACAGCCCCTGCGTCCGATGTCTCCCTCATTTCATTGGAGATGTCACTGTTTACACATGTCCTTCGGTACCTTCGAAATACATGTGGCGTGTCAAATTTACAACACCTCAGAAGCCTTCATCAATGTATGGAGTTTGAAAAATTTTATCAGCTCGTCCATCCCCTGTTTAGTGTCTCTACTCCAACGTTGGAGAATGCGGCTATTTTGATTATTTTGGAGTCTGCCGCACTCTGGGCGGTCTGTCTTGTTTTTCATCTTCGCTGCTCCTATCTTTTTACGCATTTGATTGCCGTGACGGGGTGTGCTGGCTCCGGCTGCAAAACGATGTGCAATGCCATCACACGCCTGGGATTGGAACGGGACTACCGTCTCCGAGGAAGCCAGCGTGTGAGAAATGTTTTGATTCGTCGTGCGGCAGAATATGAACTGGATGACTTGAAGGAGACTCTTCTACTTGGATTTGGCGTCACGGTTATTGTGGTTGGCGAGTTTGCAGACATAAAAGGCATGGGATACAAAGCGATATGGAGCTCCATCCGCCGCTCACTGCGCAGTGCCGACCGTCAGCGGATTTACACTTTTTTGTCAAAGGCGGATGAACTTGTGGGATTGTGCGGCAGCAATGTGGCGGGTGGGGATGTCGATCCGGTAAAAGTACTGCGCGACACTGCGGTGACGTCGGTTCGTGCAGGATCAGCAGTGGGTGATGTGCCACAGCACCTTGTTGCAGTTTCTTTTGCGCCATCCGTTGCGTTTCTTAAAACGTCGGTGTTTGTTCTGCAAAGTGGAATGTCTGCCGAGGACTTTGCGGAAAGGCTCTTGACGGCTTCATTGGGTGAAGTTCAGAGAATTCTCTCGCGTGTTCGAAAGAGTGGCTACCGTTGACGACTTCACACTTTTTTTTTTTTCTGCTTTAAGTTTTGGCTCCCACTGGTTGGTGGGCAAATATTATTGGTGTTCTTGTCTTTTTTTTCTTCTCTGTCTTTCTCTGTCTTTCTGTCTGTGTCTCCTACTGCAATCCAGTGTTTTTTCTTTTTCTTCCTGTCTTTGTTCTGTCGTTTTCTTTTTTTTCTGGAAATGATGTCGCTGTGGGTGTTTAGGAGTTGCTTGACGGATGGGGTCGCTGGCTGTGGAGTCCCTCGAACTGGAGGTGCTGCGCGCCCCGGCGTTCGTTAAAACGTGGCTGCGGCTCGTTGACGCCATTCAACTCTCGGAGCACGAGAGTGCGGCGGCCAAGGCCAACGCCACGAACGTTGCCTACGAGCGGGCCATACGGGCGAATGGATTTTCGTATAAACTGTGGGTGAGCTACATTGCCTATCGCAGGGACAACACAAGAGAGCTGTCCTCGTTGCATGAGTGGTTCAGGGCGCTGCGGAACATTTATGACCGGGCGGTTGAGAAGTTGCCCATGATGCCACTTCTATGGGTATCCTTTCTGGAGTTTCTTATGGACGCACCCGTGCCTCCGCGTCTGACGCTTATAAGGCACACCATCATTCGGGCGCTGAGGGCCCTTCCGGTGACGCAGCATCATCGTGTGTGGAAGCTTGCAAAGCGCTGGACACGGCTGCCTCATGTGCCTACGGAGACCGCCAAATACTTGTGGAGGCTATACCTTTTGTTTGACTCACGTGCTTCGAACCAGCGGGATTATTTCCTCATGTTGTGGGAAAAGGGGAGCACGAGTGAGTTTCTTACGGAGTGTGCGGTGTTCCTTACGGATGGCAGTCCACACGAGGATCTATTGAGCGACACGACCTTCTGGGAGACGGTCCGCCTTGCCCTTGAGACGAAGGATCTGCGCTTTTCAGGGGACGTTGCAAAAATTGAAAAGTTGTTGAATGTGGCGGCAGAGCACTGTGCCTCCCCGGCAGAGTTAAAGATCTCCCACGCCGTGTTCTTGTCTGGTCACGGAGATTTCGCAATGGCACGAGAGGCGCTTTGGGCACTTCTTGAAACTGCCGATGACGCCACGATCTTCTCAAGAGTGTTTAGCATGGCTGTGGCTTTTGAAGATCAGATCATTGACTCCCTTGCGATGGATCCATCCATTCAGGCCCTCAGTGATAAGGGATACCAACAATTTTTGGAAAAGCTTTGCGGTGACACGCGTGACCCTCTGACCCACCTGCGTCGCCTCAATCATCAACACGCACTCCTATTGAATCAGGTTCAGCTTAGAGAAAACTTTCGCGACACCACCATGTGGCTGAAGCGAGTGGAATTGCTGCGAGAAATGGTTTGTGATAATCGAGCCTCTCATAACGACGTGGTTATGCTCTACCGACAGGCCATCGCGCAGTGCACATCCGGATTAAAACTGGTGGATGTGGATGCGGCGCAGTTATTTGAATCCTACGCGCGCTATCTTTGGGATACGGATTGCGGGAAAGAGGCCATTGCTGTTGCAAAGGAGGCCGCATGGCATATTTCCTTTTCCTCGACAAGCAGTAACCTGTTCCTGATGGGCTTATTTGTTGAGTTTATGCTCCTTTCCTCTACTCGAGAGAATTGTTTGACCGAACTCCTTTCAAATCTTCAGGCAGTTAACATATTCAACGGTATTCGATCCAGGGGATTGGCTAAGGGGGCGGTAATATCAGATGTACAAAAGGATCCTCGTGCTTGGATGCTAGTTTTAGACGTTGCGTTTTGCGAGTTGCCAGAAACACTAGGGCGAGTTATCGAGCTGTATAATAAATCTTCTGCGTACTCAGTGGAGAGTGCGTGTTATTTGGCTGGTCGACTTTGGCATAGTGGCCGCACGCATCAGGCGTTTCGTGAGTTTGAGCGGGCTCTTGTGGCTTTCAAAGACGCTCATTTGGCAATGTTGTACGCTTTGCAGCAATACTTGAGCTGTTTATGCCTTTCGTTTGGGAAGCAGTTGCCGCTTCACCGCCTCCGTGAGCTTACACGGCTGGGTTTTGAAGTGGTTCCGTTCACTCTGCGTTCATGTCCGGTGGCCTCGGTGGAGTTTCTTCTCAATTGCGCTGCTCTGGAGTCTCGTTTTGGACTGTCGGGCACCGCCGTGAAGGTTGCTCAAGACTGCCTGGATGTGGCACAAAGAAATTATGGCAATGCGGAGAATTTTTTGCTTTGTCTTGTAGATACCGTTCTGGACGTCACCCTCACATTGCAGGGGAGTCAAATGCTCCGTGAGTACTGTGCCAAGCTTCTGGAACGGCCACATCTGAGCTCTTCATTTATTCAGCGGGTGGCGCTCTGGTGGGCAGCCGTGGAGAAACGCACGGGCAACTTGGAAAGGGCCCACATGGTAATGGAGGCATGCTGCAAATCCCAGGACCCCAACAGTGTCCACGGTTGCGTCTTCTGGACGCTATGGGAATCTATTTGTACCGCCGTGAGTCAGTTTGAGGGGGTGCATAAAAGAAAACAACAGGTTGCCCTGCAGTATGCAGGTGAATTGGCCCCATCTGCAGAGGCTTCGGTGGCGCCCAAAGTGACGCAAGGATTGGCATGAACACGGATGGTGATGAGGGTGGTGAGGGAGCATGCCATTGTTGAAGACCCGGTTACTTCCCCGTCGTGTAATAAAAAATATCAAAAGGAACTAAAAGGCGTGGATGAAACAAAACAACGGCAGCAATAAAAATGAAAGCAGCATATCAATTGGAGAAGACCACAGGAGAGGGTGCATTTTTTTGGCTGGTTTTTTTTTTTTTTTTTTTGCTTTTCTACTTCTTCTTCCCTTTTGTTTTGTTCCTTTTTTTTTTTTTTTTTTTGTATTGGCAGAGCCAAAAGACCCATGTGCGTAACCATTGATCACACTGCTTGCTGCGGTGTGAATTCCCTCCATTGTTGTGGTTGTTATTTCCCTTCTCCTTTTATTTTTGGCATCCATGTCGTAAATAGAAAACTGAAGATAAAGCGACGATTACTGTTGCTTCTCCCTAGCCTCATCGTATGTATTCTTGTATTGCTGCTGCTTTCATACAGCGAGGAGAGTGTTCCGCGTAGGCCACGGCCTTCTCCCCGAACTTTTGTGGAGTGTGAGCAGAGCCGACGCGCCAGGGCAATTAATTTTCGTGGCGTTGTGTCCCGCTTCTGCGAGAAACTTTGCACTGCCTCCTCAAAGCTGTTTTTCTGTGATCGTCAACGGTTTCCGCAAGCACGCAGTCATTTCCAGTCTGATTTCCCGCAGACGCCAGCTGTAGAGGTGCGGGGTCGGGTGGAGTCTGTCGATGTGGTAAAAATCGCCACGTGGGGTGGAGCAGGGCGGCGTTTTGGAAGGGGATCCGCCTTGTTTCTCTGCACATTCATGCGAAGAACCTCAATAACTTCTTCTCGCGATGATGTGTTGAGTACCGTTTTGGGACCTCAGTTTCCTGCATTGTTTTCCCTGAATTCCCTCCCCCGTTTCTCTCTCTCTCTTTCTCTTTCTCTGTGTGTGTGAGTGGCTCCCTTTTATTTTTTATATATTTTTAAAATTTCTTTTGTTTGTTGCTGTTGCGTAGGCATCCACAACACGAGATGATTGCCGTGAGGGTGTTTGAGTTAGCTGCCGGCCCACGCACGGCGAAGAGGGTGCAGCTCGAAAAGGCGGAGACGATTGCCGCTCAACTCCGCGCATTCTCAGAGGCCATTGGTGTGCCGTTAGAAATTTCTTCTGCCACGTTCTACACGGTTCGGGAGCGCAAGATTGATAAGCAGCCACTTCCCACCGATGTGCCGTTCGAGGCCGTTGGTGTCACGGACGGCAGTTTTATCGTTATTGTGCGAAAAGGTCTCAAGTTAGCGCCAAAACGGGAAGTAAAAGAGGAGGTGCGAGGGTCAAAGGTTGACGAAATTGCACCTCCGCAAACCGAGTCAAATGAACCAGCGAGCATGACCTCTGTGCCGGAGCAGAATTCAGCGGCGGCAGACGAACAGGTGGTGCCGGTTGGAGACAGCAGGGAGTACGTTGCTTCACCTGCTGAAATCCCACAACCCGTGCCAACAGCCGCCCCGTCGGATGCGAAAGGCCCTGACCGTGAGTCGATACTCTCTCTTGTACGTGAGATGGAGAACGTGAAGCGGGAGATAGTTTCCTCCTGGGAGAGATGGAAAGCCGAGTTGACGCATCATACCTCAAATTTTGAAAAGGAGTGTCTCGTGGAGGTCCTGGGGGCAGTGACGAGACTGACGCAGCAACAGGATGCTGTAGAAAAAGCGCTGGGACGTTTGAAGCAGCATACACAGGACCGAGAGCAGGCGACATTGGTGCTTTCTTCAATTTACGAGGTTAATAAAAATCTTTTGAATGAGTTATCCACGGCACGTCAGAAAGCGCGTGGAACTGTAGAGGAGGGTTTTGCGGCAATTATGAATCTTCAGGAGAGGATTGAGGAAAATTTACGCACACTGGTGCCTGTGAATTCCCAAAAAGATTCTATCCAAGGCACCGTTGCCGCTGCAAGTGGCGTGAATGGGACCACCCGCCATTTGGCTACTTCTGCCACGATGCCTGAGGAGGCATTCGCCTTGCATGAGAGTTTAATTCAACAGTTTTTTTTTGCTGTGGGGCAAGTCACAGTCACTGCAAGTGAAATGTTGAATTACTGTGATAATCTTACGGAACTTTACACGGCTTTATCATTAAAGTACAACTTGCGGCATACCCCTATGCAGGAGGCACTGCAGGGATACTTGCATGCGCATCTACCGCACTTGGCTTCTGCAGCGCCTGTTATTTGTTACCTGCACGAGGGCCGTGAGGTAGAGTATGTGGAGATCGTTACACTCCGCTCGCTTGGCCTTCATTTGAGCTCGCCGCATACCTGGCTGGAGGTGGCACTACCCTCCACTCTTGAGACACCCGACACCAGGTATTACTATTCCTCATTGGTGGGTCTTAGCCAGCGGGAGAAGCCAAAATGGCTGCA